TGGTTTCAGAAGAAACTTTTCTAAAGGCTGCTGCTGTAATCCAGAGATCATTATAAACATCATATCAATCAGTGACTCATAACGTATGTGAGTATAAGTAGAAATACAACAGTACAGTCAAATCTACTGTTCATTGTACCCTACATAATGGTATTGTTATAATGTTGTGATAAGTTCTTTCTATTTCTGCATTTCACTCAATTTGTATGCAATGTTCATTTTTACAACTGGACATACACATTTTAAAAATGTTACATTTATTGCTATTAGGATGAGGGAAAGATGATTTACATCATATGTATTATGTCTTATGTATGTCTTTGTAACTATGGTTCAAAGCGAGACCTGATGCAATGTAACTTTTATTGTGTTTGGACTAATGAATGTTATTGTTAAAAGCTGAAGAAAAATTAAAGTTTGGATGTTAGATTATTTCAATATTACACATTGCATTGCAAATTATCAAAACATTTTTGTGATGCATTGTTCTGCTGTGGTTCATCTATCATTATATCACCATTTTTGGAGTTTCAGTAACTGCCCAAGTTTTTTGGAGGACTGAAAATAAACAGTATTAACCTTATGAAGCGTAATTTTTAAAATATCAATGATTTGGTTTGGTGATTTTTTTTTTAATGCAGGCATATAATAATAATAATGTCATACGACGCCAATTAGAAAACGTTATGACATATCTCCTTCACTTTCTTTTTCCTGAGTATGTACAAAATGTAGAGGCAAGGATTTAAATCAGTGATACTCAACAGCTCTCGACTATGAACCCTCTCGCTATGGCTCTTTAATTCCTATTTGCAAGAAAAGTAAAAGAAAAAAAAGGGAAACATTGTCAGCAGAATTGATACATGTAAATCACATCAATCTAATACCAACCTCAGTTGTATCAACCAATCAATCACAATCTGTCCCCGGTCTCGTGCTCTGTTTTCTGGTGAGCGAGACAAGTGCAAACTCACTGGGATAACTGACACAGAACGGAGCTACAACTGGCAAAACAACAGCAGAATTGCAAGTATGAAGAGGAATACCGAACATTTAAAGAGACCTGGGAACTCAAGTCTTTCTTCATGTCCAATCTAACTGCCTGCTTTGTGATAACGTAACTTCACAAAAGGTCTAATTTGCAGCACCATCACAAAAAAAACAAAGTTTAGGCTAAATTGTGCACCGCATGTTCTTCTTTGTTTGCAATCTTTGCTCTTTGCTGCTGTAACACTGTACATTTCTCCGTTGTGGGACGAATAAAGGATTATCTTATCTCTTATCTTCTGTTCACTCTTCCACACCAATACTAGTGAAAGAGCTACAGAGGTATCCTACAAAAACTGATTAAAAACGTGAAACTATATAGAGAAATAGTGACGGATTTCATATCTCTACATTGTTTCCTGAGAAAAAAATCACCTGAAACGAGAGGTAAAAAAAAACTTAAACTTTCTGACTACTACTTTTCTCGGCTAGGAGGGCATCCGATGTTACAGAGAACAGCTGCTTCTACATTTATTGCTGCTGCTATTTTTAATATAAATCTGTACATATATTTTTAAACATGTCTATTGCTGCTACTGTGAACAGTATATTTGTATATACATAACTGTATATAATATCCTTTGGTGCTACCTGCTGCTAGAATCTGAACTTACCTAGGGGAACCTTCCCACGGATTTAATAAAGTTCCTATCTATCTATCTATTTATTGAAAATATTCTACTAATAGAAACTGTCTTCTGCTGGGTTTGTCAACATTGCAATGGATGAAAGCCTGATTATAAACAACATGCAACAATTACTCATCTTTGTCTGAGCAATCGACAGTCATTATGACATTACAGAAGAACTGCTTGACATGGTTCCGCTGCAAAAATGGGCATGGAGATCAAATATGCTGTAATGGAAGTATCAGCAAAGTTTGACATTGGACAAGAAAAAGTTACCACAATCACAACTGATGGTGCAGCATTTCTTGGATTGTGGCTCTTAAAAAAATATTTTCCTTCAATGTGGCTTCCAGAGTAGGGCAAGGTTGAGCACCACTGATTGAAATGTTTATGTAGCAGTTATAATAATAGGATAATACTTTATTGATCCCCAGAGGGGAAAGTTATTAAGCTACATTAAACTGATCCTTTTGGGGTACAAGTTATAGGGCAAGGCTATAGCATTTTTGCTATAACTATGGGTCAAGCACAGATCTGTTAAAAAGGGCAAGAAGTAGAGCAGTGTATATCTTCATCCAGCCATAACACTGAAATAGACATAGTATGTAAGATACGCAAAGAAAGTCAAAATAACGACAATAAAAATAAAAATAATTCATTTTAGAGATTGTTTCAAATCAGCAGATTTTTTTTGTACATTTGTGGCAGGTTTTTCATATTAATCTCACACACAGTACTGCACTTCCCTGCACAAAACAGAGATGAATTGAGTCATGCATGGTTGTTTGAGCTATCCAGAGTAAATGTAATAAATGTGCATGACTGTAATGCTGAATGCAGCATTGTCTAAGTGCATGTATGTGACTGTTTTATTGGCTTTTAGGCAATATAGGATTTGTGGAGGTCTTTGAATTAATTATCAAATCACTGTGATCTTTATACATATTAAGTGTATCAGAGTTGTATTACTTTAGTTTATTGAGATATTTTCATTAAACTCATCAGTTTCTATTCAGTATTTGAGAATTTTGGGGAATTCTTTCCTAAAGATTTTTGGCACAAAAAAATATATGTCTTTTGCGTATTTTTGTCATAGGTTAATTAATTCTCGTTAAACACATTTTTTTCCAAAGACAATTGGAGTCTATGCTTTATGCTTTCGTCTTTCATATATTTACAATCACAAACGTGGGGGGAAAAAACAACAACCTTTGAAATAGTAATCAACACATGAATCTCGTAAAACATCATTATTACATCTCTTAACCGTCAGATCACATGTACCATGTTTCCCTTATTCACCTGCACTGGGTAGCTCCTTTATATCTGTAGTGCATTGCATTGTTGCACCAAAATGAACTTAAATCCAAACATGATCATGTTCTATACACTCTAAAACTGACGTTTTGTCATATAATATGTCATTAGCGCTCCAAATCAAGGGATAAAAAAACTAAAATCAAATAATTTTGAAAGAATTTATATTCGAAATGTGATTCATGATATTTGGGGATCACAGTTTATGCATCACAATTTGTATCTATCAGAATGCTACCAAGAGGCCATGACAGCCACGTGGAAGAGAGGGCTGAATACTCATAACACACCAACATCAGGGTTTCTACACCAAGTCAAGTTTACTAATGTTAGTGTCAAGAAGTCCTGCCACAACACAGCTTTTGTGTCCAATGTCAAATTACAGAATATGTTAGACAAGACAACCATAAAACATGGAAAACACAATGCAGTGTTTGCATGTACTAGTTCAACAATTATAATTATATAAATTTTAGTTAAAGGAGCCATATGTAAGATATCTATTAAAATAAATCATAAAATTACCTTATTGTCAGACATTAAGGAAAAACGCTATGTTGAAGTGTTGTCTTATCTAACAACAATGCAGCACCCCCACACAGCCATTTCAGACGCCCCTCAGTTTGCCAGGCAACAGGTGTCGCATCGATGGAAGCAAGCAAGCGAGCAAGCGAACTGGTTCATATAATGATTCTACACGATCTAAAAAGCCTTGACTTTTTTCTAATAAGCTCCACAACCATCAACGTTGTAAAACTAGGATATATAATGGAGATACTTTTGAAAAATGGAGAGAGGTTAGAACGCAGTAAGGTTTCAAGACCGATGCAGAGCTGGATAAACACTGAAGCTTCAGTGTCCACCACATGGTGACCTGTGTGAGCATCCACTCAAAGGGGGGGAAGCAGCGCTCTCCAATGTTTTCAAATTAGACTGCAGTACACATTTTAAACGCTAGGTGTCAGAGTTACATATTTCTAATTTACAGTACATTCTTCAAAACTAAAAGCATAATGAATCTTAGGTTGGGAGCAAAGAAAAAGCAGTCTCAAATTCAACACAAGGATTTAGATTCTAATTGGACATTTGATTGTAAGCTGTGGGTGGGCAGTAAGTTTTGACTTTTTGTTTGTAAACTTTTTATTATTCTTTTATCATGAAGGAAGTATTGTTTTTTATCGCCTTTATGTGTATGAATAAATTGTTTGGTCTTGTTATTATATTTGTGAATCCAGTTTACCTCAAATTGCAACCCAGGGGACAGACTAAGTATTTGAATTGAATTGAGAAGTGAATCGGAACGCATAAAAATGAGTGCACAAGGCAATTGCAAAAATAAAAAACAAAAATGTATGTAACTCTGTACTCATTTCTCTCTTGTCATTTGCTAAATTAGAAAACATATGTAAAACTTAGAGGGGACACTCAAGTAAGCAGGAACAATTAAGTGTATCTGTTATACACTGCTAAAATTGTCTTTGGTAGAGTGACACAATCAGCAACATAACTACCAAACATGTTTTGTATTGATCCTGGGGACATTTGGGCTACACTTCAACTTAATCCATACGGTAATTACTAATTCTTGTCCTCTGAAGGCCAGGCAGTTTTAATAAGCATTTAGATTGATCTCAGCACTGCAGCTTGAAGATATGGTGTCCATGCTGCTTCAGGTATCTCTTAAAAGATCAAATACAATCCAATGGATCCCATTGGAGTAACAGACTCATGAGTTTGTTAAACAGTGCTGAGTTTACATGTTTAATTATATTCTAGTGCAGGATAGCAAAGGACTGGGAGAGATAACCTGGAGTCCTTTTTATTCTGCATTTAAACTGGCCTGTATGTACAACCCATATGTATGTTTTTTTCTGCATCACAAGCTCTTTATACAGGACCTCGGGCCATATGTTGCCTTTTACAAGATAGACCATTTCTACACTGATAATATAACCCCATGGTGACGACAGACATTACTTTCTGTATAAGAAGTTTTTGGACACTTACTGTATCATTGCCCGGGCAACTTCGTAACTCGTGTTGATTCGCTGACAGTCTGCTCCTATGGGTGAAATGAAAAGGATAAGTACACCAACAATACGTAAAGCTGTTCAAGTTAATTTAACTGAAGTTACCATTTAAGTTGTTTCCTGATACCGCCCCGCTGCGTCATCTGTTGAGCTGACCGAGCTGACCTGTAAGCTAGCTAGGTGGCGTGGCACGAATTGTCTTCCTTTAAGGGATGCTTCTTCTCTCCTGACCCGCTAACACAGCTTAGCCTTCATTTTAATTCAACAGTTCCTCGGTTTGATAAATTACATGTTTACTTTTATCAGAAATATAACGTGAACTAACTTAGAAACCACTTTATGTTGACAACGTTACTCAGACCGTAGCATAACGCAGAGTTTGCGTAAATGGGCGTGTCCTGATACAGTCTATGGTCCTGATTGGATGTGATGCGAGCACAAATCCCGCCTTCTCGACCTTTAGAATAAACAAATGTAGACTGAAAAACAAATATATGGGAAGCTTGTTTTTAAAGTAGGTGTCAAACATTTGTAACAAACCCACTTAGGCTACATCCAGTATGTATTACTGAATATTTTATATATATATTTTAAGTATTTAACCTCTGTTATTGTAGGTTATAGCTTTAGGCTTTTAGTTTTAAACTCCTCAGCTTTTCATGCCACTTTCTATAAGGACCTATTTCTGATTTTAGCTTACCTTATCTTTTTGTTTTTGAAGGATGCTAAATCGGTTTTAGGTAATATTATTATTATTTTAGATCATTTTATTTCTAGCCTTCTATGCATGTTGCTGTGTTTCACGGCAATATTTATACACCATGTAAACAGTTCAAATCTAGATTAAAATTGAGTATTTTTACATGCTACATACACTGAACATTTTGTGTTCCCTGATATGTTTATTATAATTGCATTTCCCTGTTATTTTAACGGATTAAACGTGGTTGAAAAATTAACTAGTTTTTTTTAACTAGCCAGAAGTCAGCAGGTCAGTTCATTATACATTATTCCACTTTTACAGCACCGCCAGCTAACCACTGAAAGTAAATAGTCTATGTCATCCTTCAAGATGAGTGAGACACATAGCAGAGACAGGACTGTGCACATCCTATAACTGTCCTTCTCTGCAGGTCTTCAACACACACACACACACTGGAAGCTCTCGTCTTTCCATCTGGTAAAGTGGGCCGTTGTGATTGATTTGTGGATTTGCGCCCTCTTTTTTTCTCTCCATTTAAGTGAAATAATGTATGGAAGCAATCTGGCGACAGACATTTTGGAAAATCTATTTGAAATCATTTCAGCTGAAGCCATGGCAGTTTGTCTTCTTAGGGGAGAGGAGCAAAGTATAATTGTCTGCAGTCTAGTAAAACACAGTATAACTGCCATCACACTTGACTGAGCTTATAGCCAGCCAGTCCCATGGCCTCTAGAAGATAGAGCAGTTAATGTTCCCTTTTATTTTAGAGGATATGTCACTTGTGTCGCAGATTTATACCATGATACAGCAATTTTGTCCAAACAGATGGATAATGGTGTCACCAGCAAAAAGCCCTGTTTTTATTGAGTTTAGAGCATATTGTTTAGATAGGGCCCTGTGTTGAACATCTCTGCCAGCGCTTTCTCTCTTTATCTCTCTAATCTTGCCAGTATTAGATTTGATCATTTTTGTTTGAAGGAGGAAAATGTGGCTGTAATGGCTTCCTAATAGCAAACACAGGGGATACAAATCCAGAGACCCTGTTCTGTAGTGCTTCCATAAGCACCACTGATTTATAGAGGTCTTTATGACAGAAAAGAAAATGATCTGCCGCAGGTATAAATCAGGTGAGGAGAAGGAAATTGAACTTAGATATCATCTTGTCAGATGCTTAATGCTCTTCCTCCTGTCACATTCGATAGGACCAATTTGGAGAATCCTGCAGAGGTAAAAAGAAGACAATTAACAATGACAGTGTGGTAATAGATGAAGCTATAAAATGAACCTGCTGCCTGCAGGATGCTTTGTATGATTTCCACATGAGGTAGTGGCACGGGTGTGTTGTCTTGGCCTTCCATTTCTACCCCTACCTTTTCTGTTTACAGCAGTTTTGTGAACATCTCCACAAAAATATGCAAAACTTTAGTAAAACAGCAAGAAAACAAAGGTTTTTTTGTCATTTACACTGCTCTATAGCTGAATTATGCAACTTCATATGACAGGACTTGTAAATTTAGGTTATTGATTTTGAGGGTATGTTATATCCTAACGCTACATAAAATTAATCAATATATCAATTGTCAAGCACAGAAATTATGCATGTAGAGGAGCATTAAAAGTACAAACAGCCCAATAAATCATATTCATTTGAAGTGTTTTAATGCTATAATGAAACACATGTGTATCATGTCTGTGTTTTCTTTCTGAAAGTGTGCCTTCCCCAGTTTAGCATTTAAATAACAGAGGACTGTTTGCCCTAATAATTGTCAAACTGTGCAAGTGCTCAAACAGATGTCATCGCTCAGTGGTGTAATGAGTTCAAGATAGGACAGAGAATGACAATGCTCTCTGATCCCTGAATGTCACTCTGGTATAAACTACAGTGCAGTGCTTTATTGTCGGCATCATGAATTCAGCCGCATGCATTCATGGCTTTGACAGATAGAACACGAGGGAGGGGGAAAAAAATGGAAAGCCATCCATCCTGAGTGTGTGTGGGTTTCAAATGACTTGAATTTAAAAAACTAATTTCTTGGAAGCTGATGACCTTTTGTGAAAAGCTGCTCAACTTTGTCAAGTGCCAATTCAAGCCTCGAGCAGCTAAAGAGCTCCGGTAATAACCAGAGATCCACTGCTCGGGAAGCATCGCCCCTCGCAGCTCATCAAGGCAGGCTCTTGTATCCTCTAATTTGATTTTAATGCTTCTCTGAAGGAGATTGTGCTCTTATTACTGTGTAATGATGCTGTTGTCAAGAGCCAATAGTGATGTCTGATATGACATGTTAACTGTTTCTGTGACACTCATCTCAGTGTTTTCCACACCATCTCCACTGCACAATGTTTTTTGCTGTGTATATTTATGCCTTTGTTGTCTTTCTGTTGCGTTCCTCTTAGAGATAGAGATAGACAGAAACAATGTAAATCTTTTAAAACTCCCTTCCTTATTAACCCTGTCTGATATGGTACTTTTTTTCGTATTCAGTACAGTAGATAGAGCATAACGATGAAGGTCTTTCGCTGAGATGAGGAGAATTTTGAAGTGCTCACGCTCGGGGGCAGCAAATGGAAAAGTGACAAGCCTGGTGCACTTGTCTATTTTACTTATTCTGTGCCTCTGTTTCATATTCCGCCTCGCACCGTGGGGTTATTTTCCTCCAGGGTTCAGGAGGGCACGCTCTTTCATTTCTTCAGAAAATTGTTTCGCAGGATTTCAATCTTTGGCTGCTAGATATGACAAAACACAATATCAAGAACACTTATGTTTCTTATCTGCCATTTTTTCTGGGTATAAATAAAAGATCAGTATAAATTTATGTCAAGTGGCCTCGAATGCACATGTGAGAGATGAGTATGAAAAGAACTATGAACCTTGGGACAGCACCACTGTACATTTTCCTCGCTTGCACAGAATTACCCTGGCACTGGGGCTTTGTGTGCCATTTGTCATCCTTGAAAATCAATTAGTGTTTCCATGATAGCAATTCAGACGTAATCCTAAGAGAGTTTGGACAATTGGACACAGAATCCTGAGTGCATCTTTTGTTGTATTTCTTTTAGATGTACTTATAAGAGGTTTAGATGAGTCAATTAGGGGCTAAGATGTCTGCAGTATGAACACCCTAACAAGAGAAAGGGCCAAACTAAAAAAACTGATGTTCCCACTGTTTACCACATAAAAATGACCTAAGGAGTATTTTTTAAACTTTAATAGAGTCAAGATCAAACCGTTCTGTTTAATCCCCAGATCCCTGTCTATGCATGAAATAATAAAGCCGAAGAAGAAAACTTATAGTCGAAAATCCTGCAGACGGATGATAATTCTGCTCTCAAGTCCAAAAAGTCAAAAACAATTCTGTTTGGTGGAATCAAACATAATACTCAAACATACATTTTGAAACCACAGAAGCAGAGATCTTTGGTGATATATTACTTATGAGGATGCACATGCATGCAGGCTATGTATACTGGACAACCTCCCAACAGTGTAAAAAAAAAAAAAAATCCAAATGTTGTCCTATTGATGTCCCATTTTTTTCCCAGTTTGGCTCTTGTCAGAGGTCAACCTCAAACAGCACACGGTGGAATCAGGCGTTACTGTCGGTGTCACATTGATGCATTACAAGGCCCGGGAGGTCACATCTCTGTAAACATACATTATCAAAACCCATAGAAGATGTGGGCTGTTGACCTCACCAATAGTTTTACGGTTTATCTTCAGGGGAAAAAAAGGGTCATGTGATGGCAGCAAGCAAGTTTGTAGCCGCAATGACTTTCTTGTTGCAAATGAAGAGGGTCAAGCAATCAAGACTGGTTGGTCTCCGTGTCAGCACCATTATCTTACGCTGTCTCAAATGATCAATGAGCTAAAATAAAATGATCACAAGCTAAAATTGGCCTGCTAATGAAAACGGACCGTTTAAACATGCTCCCTGTTTAGAAGCTGACCAGAGGAGAAATAAAGCAGGGATTTAAAATACATGACATTATACAGGAAGCAGGAAAATATAGGAGCAACACATTTCTTAATCTTTTAATCATATTTTGATGTTCACATGGAATATCTTTAAAATTCTTTCATTTTAAACTCAGCACGTCATGTTTCTAACCTCATTGTAAATTATATGGTATTATTTCATTCTGTTTTAATAAACATTTTTACATCTGTATATTGGCAGGTTTAGTAGGTTTAGTTTGGGTTTTAATATTTGTATATTTAACTACTGATATTAGGCATCTTCCCAGTTTGCTCCAAAGGCTTGCTTTGTTGCACTTGTGCAGTGACAATAAAGGTATCTTATCTTAAATGTAATCTTTTTTTTTTATTTGGAGCAAAATCAGTCAAATAATTCCTGACTTTATCCCTATATGAAAAATAACACATCCCTTTGTGTAAATTTTCTGCAAAGTTTATTTATTATTCATACAGCAAATGGATTCTGACATTCAACGAACACATTCTGTCTGTAAACACTTAAATGACATTACTGTCTGTATGTAAATAGGTTTCATGTACAATACTCTGAAGCAGACGCTTACATCTTATAAAAGGCACTTTGGGCAGGTGAACAGTACTGGCATAAATCTCATTTCCTCCCTTTAAGCAATAAATAACTGTGCAGTCCTATCATTGTATCAAGGTTGTGTAAACATGTTTTAGCACTACCGTGTAGCAAAGTAGCCTCGTAAACACTGTCATGAATGGCATAGCATTACAGTAAACTATTAATAAATAATTTCCCATAAATACAATTTGATTTACCCACAAAAGTTATTGTTTTGTTTCAGCGGTTTCAAATTAATTTAGCTAGAATCATCCAAAAATATTCCAAAATAAATAAAATATGGAAAATATAGACAACATTAACTTTTCCTGTGATATATGGAGATTTTTTTTGTAACATCCATACCATCTTAATCCTAAACGCCCTCCATTACATATTGTGAAATTGGGTTGGACACATCACCATACTGGATAAGAGGATCGTTTGGTGATGCTACCGAATGCCATGCTCTATATATTTCAATTCATAACTACTGTGCAGGCTATAAAAACATTTCTCAAAAGAAAAGGACATTCTGTTCTGTAAGTTTAAAAGAATAATCACATCAGATGCTGGTTTATTCCTGTGTTATTCCAACTCACGGCATTAGCTTACAAGTTAACTGCTATTTCTTCAAAGATCCAGTATTACAAGTGTTGAAATCACTACACCACCTTGTTTTTATTCCACCTCCATGGCAGACAAATCTTGCTCTCCATCAGATTTTTCTGAGGGTGGCTCTTGTGACTCTGGAGTGCTCTGGCTGTCTGACGCACAGCTGGGCTCTGTGGTCGTTGGTGTGTCCGGCCCTTGGGGGTCTGTTTCAGCAGAGACGTCAGCAAGCTTGCTTTTCTCTATAATTGCAGATAATGGTTCCATTTAGATGTGCATAGATTTACAACAAATATAAGACTAAAGAAGGTCGGAGAAAGACAAATACAGAACTACAGAATATGCTAAATAGTATTTAAATGTGATTTTTTTTTAATGTTCTTTTATTGGTAAACCATCAATGACCACTACACTTCACAGGTCCATATCACATGTAGACAAATCCTGCTCTTACCTAAAACAGAGTGGTCTTCATCTATGTCAGCAGCAGACGCTGGTAAGGGGGCATCAGATGACTCTTTCTGCTCTCCTGTGACCTCGGGCAGTCGGGGTGCCTGAGGCCGGATCTTTCTCGCGGGGTTCAAGAAGTAACAATATGCGCATCGGAAGGCTGAAACAACACAAATAAGACATATGGTGTATGTCATTTTGCATACACATTTTCAAACAGACATGGATTAATATACATGAATACGAAGCGATGACAAAAGATGCCTGAGAAGCATAAACATTTCAGATTGATGTGTAGCACTCGTTTGCATATTCAATCTTGTTGCGTTTTTGCTTACAAGGGTCGCTAGTGGCAGAGGCATTTAAGAGCCATATGATATACTACACTGCCAAATGCTAGAGGGCAAATGAAGGCAGTGTTTGATGGTGACTGACAAAGAGTGTTTGTGTTTGTTTCTCACAAAGTCTTACCAACGTATTCAAATTCCTCCTTTAATGCCATGCCGTTATGGGAGAGACACTGCTGACATATGAGAGCAAATCTATAAGAAAAGAAAGAAAATGGAGTGATGAGAGCATACTGAGCATCAAGATAATTCACTGTTAATCGTTGGAAATGATTCTCATTTAATCATTAGCTACATAAGGAATACATAGTCAGTTTCCTTTATTTAGTTCTTGCATCAGAATTCATTTATGGTACTTATCCAAAATCATTCCAAGGTAGGAAACTGTCCATACAACACGTTCAAATATGTAACTAGAAAAGAGAACGTGTCCAGTGAAAAGCAGAGATTTTGTACCTGTTCTGAGGGCCATCGCCAACAAGATACTCGATAACTCTGTCCATAGCGCCTCGATCCCTTGGGAGCACGGGTCTGGCCAGGGGTGGGCCTGGAGGGTGCATCCCTGTTAATGCACAACATCAATGGCTGTTAGACACAGTCTGAAGTCTTAAACACATTCTGCACCGCAAGCTGGCCCGCTTACAGTTAAAGCTCAGGGAAATTTTGAGGCTGAGACTCACAGTTAACTGCACAAACCATGATGAATTTTACTCGAAACTCTACCCCTTTATTCTTAATGACTGAACGCTGGATCTCAGTTGCAAAGCACGTCCAGAATCCCTGCTGTTTTGGCGAGTAGTAATTAATATAATCTAACATCAAGAGCAATCATAGGAAGATGACTGGTCATTTCTGTGAGACTTGGCAGAGTCTTGGTATCCTGCTGGTTATTAATTTACCAACATATGGAAACTCTGTGGTGACTCTTTGTATCAAATTGCTTTTCACTTTCAATTTTCCACAGAAGAGGGTGATAACATCAAGTCGTGTAAACCATTTGTGAGGTGTTCCCGATGCCAAAGGCAATTTCACCGAGCATTAAAAGACATTTAGTGAGATTCCACCACTATTGCCCAGAGAACAAATGCAGGTCTGGCTAATTAATCATAGTTAATGTAATCCTGATTTGTGCATACTTCACAGTTGGCATTCCACATGGCAATTGCAGCATGTGTCTTCCTCTAAAAACATGTTTTCTTTACTGTTTGCACTTACTTGCATCTTCTATTGAGAGTTCATAGTCCAGAAATAATTCACATTGAATATTCAATCCCTCTACACGCCACAGATGTCATCTGTTTCTAACAACTGTTCAAGGGAAAATATTAAATGGTGTTGGCTGGCTTTTGAAATCTTTGAAAGCAGCTTTAAATGTAAGGAAAAAAGCATCATATCCCGTATGTGAATATTCTGACTATATTTAAGTTTTGCCTACTTATAATTTTAGTTCACAATTATTAACTTGTTTGAAAGAGGATGAACCTTTCAGTAAGATATTTAAAACTACATTCATATAATTACCCATTACAACTTCTGTATAATATATACCACCTTTCTGACAACACACACACCACAGGGCCTTGAGCAACTGGGGACACAGAGCCAGGGAAGAGTAAATCACACCTTAATCGACCACATTATGATGTGGTCCCCCTGTGTGCAGGTAACTCACCGATTCCTGGAACAGGTGTTCCAGGGGTCACAGGCCTCCTCATCAAGCTCTGCTGAGCAGCTATAGCCGACAGGCCCCTCTCTGGGGGTCCACCTGGAGCAGAGTGGGAAGATCGGCCAGGATAGGTGGGCCCAGAGGCAAGAGGAGGGCGTGTAGCAGCTCCTCCACTATTCACCACCAGTGTGGGGGTTTGGGGGATGACATTGCGCTGGCGAAGCTCTAACACAGAAACCATTGCAGGAATTTTAACAATATTCAAACTTGGTGAGAGAGTAGGAAAAAGAATGCACCTCTTAAGAACTTATTGCTACCTTGTCCTGGTTTTGGAGTCATCTGTGGTCCAACTGGAGTGGATTCCAGCTCCTTTACACAAAACAAGAGGATGTTAGATCATGTTTTTCAGTATGGAACACACCTACATAATGTTACATTATCTTTTAAATGATAACAACATAACTCACCATTTTTTTCTTGGAATCAGGATCGAATCTCTCCAGAATCATTTTAGCATTTTTATACGTCTCAGTTTCCATAACTTCTTCAAGCTGGACAAAAACAGTCAAAAGAGATATGAAGAGAAATGCATTTTTCCAAGACATTACTCAGTGAAATTATTCCTATAATGGCTCCTTTGCAGAGTAATCATTAAATGATCAACTAATATAATTAATAGTAGTTTTATAAACACACATCAATATCTCACAATCACCTACCATAACATTCAAAGTTCACTTGACTGAGAAAGCCTGAAGTTACCCGACTGTACATCTTCATTTAAATCATGTACTAAACATTCCTTAATGTTTACATTTAATATGAAGAATAATTACATTCACTACTTCGATAATGGAGAGTGTGAAAATCCATCAGCACTAATTATTGAAAGTTATTAGACTTGACAGAGGATGACAAGCAATTTCTCAGATTTATTTCTTTCCTGCACTAAATGCTATTAATTAAAGCGATATTAGCAGGGCGGGTTAAGTCACTGTACCTATAAAACACTGTCTGTATAGATGCTATATTAGCAAGTATCTAGCTGGAAATGCTGAGAGCATCATTATGACTGTTCTTATATTAGCAAATAAAGCCTTTACTCCACGAGATACAAAATTACAATTAGTTCTATAGAGATGAGGAGATTTAAATTGTTTCTCTCATTTTTCTGACCAGTGTGAGACTCACATATGAGCAATTGTTTTCAAAAAGGTCGGTTGGTTGATCTCTTTAGCTGACAGAGTTTTTTTTATTACCTTAGAGAGAAAATCTCAAGAAGAAACAGGTACAAAATAATTAAAAACCATTAAGTTTGGGATTGAAATTAAAATGTGTTTTTTCCATCTCGAGGACAACGTACACTGGTTTGTAAAGCTCCCTTCCCCGTCATATTACAGCTTTTTGGCATAAGAATTATTCTTTGAAAGTGCAAAATGTGCAGTGCTTCATCCTTAGTCTTTAGAAATATGCTATTGTATATATTATATTTCTAGGTCTTGTGAGTGTCCCAAAGATAAAAACAAGAAACACTTTCTGTGCTCCAACATAAATCCAAACAATGTTTTTATATTGTCTGTTTTTATGAGCCATGTACAGCAGTTTGATTGAAAACACTTTATAAATAGATAAAATTATTAAAATTATATATATATATATATATTCATTGATTTGTAGCAGCAAGATGCTTCGCTCTTACAGGAAGTTTTTATTTCCGGTCTAAGCAAAACTATAGACCAAACAGAATACTGTATGAGATTGGAAAAACATAAAAGAGTTACTTACTATTTTCCTTTTTTGTGCTTTAAGATCCTCTAATTTGTCATCTGAAAAAAAAAAAAAACGAACCAACACCAATTTCAACATCAAATAATCATTATATATATCTTCTGTAGAAAACAATAAAAATGAAAAGAATAAGCTTACTATTTTTTTCAGTTCTCCGTGAAAAGATAATTATAAGTAGTTTTCGAAGTAACCACACTCTAAAGAAACAAAGAGGAACATGTTACACTGTAGAGAGATCTTTGAGAAAATGTGGAGCAATGGATTTTAAAAATATATCGTATGCCCTTACATTAAAGGAAATATTAGAAAGGGAAGAGCCAATATGAGCCGCCCCATCATCTGTTCAGGCAGGTACCAGGAATACACCACAATACACATGATCAGGTAGAGCAGAGATGAGTAGAGAATCAGCCGCCCAACCCATATCTTCAACTGCTTCTGATACTTCTCACCGTACTCCTCAAGGGTCTGTATTTCCTGGGAGAAAAAAAGAGTTTAATACATGCACTGAGCTTATGTTTTCAAATTCTCCAAAGGTCCAAAAGTAACAGTAATATATAATGTGGAGCAAACTATTAGTCAATTTATTGAAAATGGTAAGATAAAACAAACACAAAATAAAAAAGTATAAGTGATAAAAAAGGGAACAAAAACAACAACAAAAACAAACGGGATCCTCAGGATCCTTAGCAACAAATAAATAACTCAAATAATATAGTTCATGGTTAAAGGGATAGGAAGAAGTTGAAAACTATACAACACTTTGTGTTTAACACAAAAACACAATGCACAAGCTTGAACTGTAACATTCTGCTTTGTCTACATGTCAAAAGCAATAAAAGATAAGAACTTCATTTATCTGATGTATTTAAGTCAAACTCAGTTTATTGTTTGATCGTCCATTTGAAAACTTAGTATGACTTTGGATACTTTTTGCATATTTTGAAATACACAATTCACCCAGAAAAATGTTGATAAGTCAAAGTCAGTCTTCTTGGGAATATAATATTGTAGCTGTTCTGAAATGATTGTTCTGAGAAAGTGCCTCTTATTCTCAACCATAGAATCATTATTGATCATTTTTACTTTCACTTTACTCCAGTAGGGCTTGGCCATCATGCTTTATCCTCGCCGTGTTTTCTAAGTCACAATGGAAGTATTTCATGTCTTTAAATAGATGCAAAGGAAGAGAAGTCTTTTTGGATTAGCTGTAAAGTATATTTACTGTAAATGCACAGCCTTCAGGTAGAAAAGCCAACTATAGGTACATAAATGTAATCAAGTATCTCTTTGAAATGAACAAATGACTCATTCAGGGTATTTTTTGATAAGCATATATTACACCACAGGGTAAACCAGGCTGCACCATCCGAAAATAGTGTGCAAACAGAATGGGACCCACTCTGGTCACTATGGTTCTGCTGTAACATGTGTGTCTGTCACTCAAACACTGGATAAAAAGATCTCACAGTCAGCCCTACAGTACATAATCAATGTGTCTGTGCAGTCCAACCATGCACAGGACATTTTACTGTAGCTATAATCAACTTTAATAAAAGATCAAAGTATTTTTCTAAAAGAAACTAACAGGCTTGAGACTCTTTGCTTCATAACTTCAATGCCACCTGACCTCTTCAGTTTAGTGTCTCGAAGGGCAGGAGCTGAAAATAACCTTACACTAGCTTAACAGTAGAGGAGCACCAAAGCTCCATCAGACAGCTAATGAGAAGCTGATGCGGCATTCATTGACATATCTGATTACTTATGTTAAAAGGTGCACGCTTATGAAACATATCTGCCAGAGCTATATTACTTTATTAGAAACAGGCTTAAATGGTCTCTAAGCAACAGTGAAGTAAATACCGGTAAGCAATATCGACTTCCTATACATGCATCCCTTATTCTACATTTTTGCCATACCATAAGGCATACATACAAACTATCTAAAAATGTTAATTGAAAGATTTCACCTTTGTCTGAACAGAAATAGATCACTGTGCATAACCCTAACCCAAGTACTCCAAAAGATGCTTTGGGCTATCTAGACATTAGCCAGAAAGGCCGTCTGTGAGAACCCAAATGCTAACATGTGAATAAAGAATGCCGGAGAATTCAGAGCAACAAGTAAGCTGTGTTGAAGATTTCTCTTCCCTTTAGAGCTTGCCTGGTTCACTCATGTTTGAAAAGGCAACTCTTGAGGGTGTTGGCCCCGACTCTCCAGCCACTGTCCGGACACAACAACTCAACAATGGGGGTCATCTGCAAACTTGGAAGCACTAATCCAGGGGCATGATGTACTAAATAATCTACCTCAAATTAAACGTAAACAGGACACAAGAACATAAAGAGAGGATTGTTGAAACCTATCTTAAGGTTAAGCATACCTTATCGATCCCTTCCAAAATCTCCACAGTGGATGGTTTAGCCTGTAGGGCAAACATTGTGAAATACCAGTCAGCAACATGTTTAAAAAAGGATCTGGAAAGTTCCTGTTTTAACTTCCTACTTCTGCACATTTTGTGTATGCATCATGAGTGTTCTTCTGTTCTTTTTGTAATTCAGCTTGCCTATGCATGCCAATGAGACAAGGAATGAGAACATAATTGTGGTTATGTGTATACATCTTTCTAAAGCAAGTAAACATTATTTGTGCCTACAGTTTGGATTTACAGACCTACATGTGCATCAAAAACTTCATCACTTAAAGTTAAGCAAACTGATTAAAATCTCGATCCTTTACTGTACCATATGACTGTAGTTTTTTATGCAGCATAATGTAAAAAGCTCAAATTGATGAGGGTATTGGAAACAAACCTTCCACCGAGAGATGACAGCCCCCATATTGATGAGGGAGTGTAGGATGTTCTGCAGCTGAAACCCTCCTTTGATTGTCTCTTGCAGTACAGCTCTCCACCTGTTGAAAACAGTGGCTGACTTGAATATACACTCAGGTAGCAGTTTATTGTTTACATACTATAATGAGGGCTTTCATTCAGAGGTATTTGAGAAACTTCGATTGAATTTCGCCCTTGGAGGTGGTTTGTGAGGCGGATTTATGAGAATCAGCTTATCTTATAACCTTCTAATGAAATCTGGAAATTCTAACTAGTACTGATGGGACTTAATGGAGTGCACAAAATAGTTGAATATACAGGAACCCATGACGCAATGCAACAGAACCACAAATTACTACCGAAAACAAGACCTTTTACATTTACGCCTTTAAACAGTTAAACCAGAACCAGAACAGAATCCAGTACAGAGCTGTTAATATGCATTGCTTTAGACACGTGTACATGTTTGAGTGCAACTAACCAGAAAACTGTCTACATGCGAAAAGCAGCACACACTAGTTGAGATTGCTTCATACATAACCTTCAGAACTTCACTGGGACCCCTCTGACAGCTGTATATCGTATTTTAATTACTTAAACTTTAAGCAATATTCTTATTACATCTGTGAAGTGCACAGAAACACTCTCTTTTTAGCCCTAGTAGAACTGTTTTATATGACTTTGCTAACTTGAAATAGCAAACTTCCTCTCATTGTTTCCGAAGGCAAAGAAAGTACATATCGAAACAACGTCATTTGAATTCAGAGGCATCTCAGCAGCAACATTACAAGTTATATAACTGAGACTGTTTTTAATGTCCGTATTTCAAACAATGTTGCAGTTAGCATTCGCGCGTCAGAGCTCACCATGGCTAGCTGGATGCTAACTACTGCTCACACTGAGGGTTAGTGCAGTCCGCCCCTCAGCTCACAATGATAACACCAAACTTTGCTAACTTAGTCGATGCTTTTCATAAGCAAGAGTAACCTAATAAAACACCTGGAAAGTGAATGAATCACAGCCCCGTGTTTTGAAATACAGTCGTGTATTTACCTTGGCAGGAGAGTTGTCCGGTTTCGACAGCCTGTGGCAGACTGGACTCACTCTGTCTTTAGACAAGATGGGGGAGTGTCCACTCAAAGAGCTGCATGGAAATAGACCAACAGGGTCAACACGACAACGTTTAAGCTTTAAATATTATGTTCAGCACTTTGATACCTACTTTTACTGCTTATTATTATGAAACACCGTTAGCCTTATCGTCAAGTAGTAGTTGTAAGTGAACGGTGAACTTGTAATTAAAGCAATGGTTGAAACTGACTAAAGCCACAGCTCCACAAAAAGTACCAGGAACTTATTTTTAAGGGACTTAAAAGTTCCTTGACTCGTTTGCTATTTGTGTTTTCACATAGTTCTGAAGAAGAAGAAGATTAATTTCTATACACAGTTCTATTTGTAATCAGGGTTATAGCTAATGCTTCAACAGGCTTAGTATTGTATGGGCGTGGATATCAGCTGTATAATGCAATCCTGTAACATATTGGCTATCATTTGTCGAGAAAATTAATCAAGAGCTTAATATCCATAAACAGACAGCTGCATGTACACCCAGCTATCAAATCAGTCAAGGAAGTAATCTTTCAACTCTCACTATATTCTTGTTGCTCGGGTTGCTAGCTCACCAGTAAGGAATAGTTGAGCACACAGAAAAGAAAGTTTTGGGCCCAATGTCCCAAATTGTTTATTTGAATATCCAGTGGCTCCACCAGATGACCAGATGCAAATTAGCCTTTGCTCTCAGAGGCTAGCCTATATATCCAGGACACATCGATAGCTAATTGATTCAGAGATTACATTAAGATGAGACAAAAAAAGTTTGAGTTAGATGAGTGAAAAAGTCAAACCTTTTTTAAACAATTATACATCGGTTACACCTACATTATTTTGATCAATAAAAGTGATCACAGCATAGTTATATTATCATTTATTAGCATATCCCCTGCAAATAAACATTATAGCCCTTTTTATTTTATCAAATGCCATCTCTCCTGTCTAAAATACTGAGCTTACTAGTTTATAATGGTGAAACTGGTAGCCACTACTTCCTGAGAGCAATGCAAAAATATTTAAGCATGGTATAGCAACACAACCAGACAGTCAAACTTGCTGTAAATCTTGTAAATGCTGGGAGTACTCAACCAATCATGTGGATATTCAGTGCGGCAAAACCCATCAGCAACTCCGAGATTAGTTGATGCCACTTGGGAAGCATCAGCATGTGCTGTAAGTCAGTGGCATGTGCTGTGGCTGATGGCAAGCCAGAATAGAGGAGCAGCAGTATGTGTTGCAGTGGACTGTATGCCTTGTCCGTCACACCAGTACCACTAATCGTCTACCACCAGCATGATGCATATAAACTAAAACCAGTGGTCTCACTTTACGACATGCACATTTTAATAGGTTTAGATTTTCTGTCTTTATTGACAACGTAAATGCAACATAGTGCTGCTAATGAATGTACAAGTTTCTCTCCTCTGTTTTTCATGTGTATTCAAAGTATGTCTTTTAGTTATCTCTGTGATGACGGTAAAAACAAAATAATTGACATATACTTGCCCATGATACCAGTAAGCTCGTTGAAGAGCTTATCCCATCTATCTAACAAGGTTAGCCTATAGCCATCGTAGCCAGTCAGAATAATCGATTGCAGAATTAAGAGTGCGATCCGACTTTGCATCAAAGATCATCATTTATGATTTTTTTTAACTGACTCCTGAGTCCGTCAATAAAGATGATGAAATATACATGCAGCTAAACATCTATGCCAGTCATGATATGCTGGTAAATACACTTAATTCTGTGTTGATGGCAGTTTAGCCATTGAAATATTAAAATATGTTCAATTTAAAGAGAAACAAAAACGCTCTGCCAACTGTTGTATACAACTCCATTTAACCTGCGTTGTAATTAACATATGTTTTCCTTGATTTCTTGTATGAAAATGCTCATTTGATCTGACTGATTCAGACTGCTGAAGCCTACATTTTTGTGATAATGTCTGCACCAAAGTTTTATGCGATTTATTCAATAGTTTTGAGGCAGTTAACTTAAAACCAAAAATCTCCAACTCAAGGTGCCACTAAAGGAAAACAAATTTGTTAAGACACCATCTAGAACCCATAAACGTGCACACACATTTATGAATTAGTCCATTCAGTTGATACTAGAACATAAGAGACTCAATGAGAGGAAATTCCACTGACTGCTGGTAGAAAGTTGTAGGATTCATCCTCTTGGAACTGTGAATGTCTTTACCAAGTTTCAAGGCTGTTGGAGACTAAATGTGGATGCCCCGTCTGGACAAAAGTGGTGGACAGACAACACAATAGTCCAACATTTACCTCCCCAGACCCGAATAGAAAGCATGGCTAAAAAAGTTACAACTGGTGCTATAAAGTTTTGCTCTGCACTGGTGTTGGCAGCACAGTTTTTATAGTGCAAAAGAAGAAAGACAAACTGGAGCAGACCCCCAATAAATGTGTGAATTTTATGCATTGCTTGGCTGAGCAGACAGTCGGACATCTCATTTTCACCCACTGCTTCAACAAGCCCGGTCATTGTAAGGGCCGACTAATGCCAACATACACGCCACAAAAACACTGGGCAGCGGTCAACCACAGAGATTCAACCATGGCCAAATGGCACTCAAAGGCTACTGTCAGCTTTGGGTTTTAGGCCCCCTTGTTTTTTTTTCTCTTCTTAAGACTGCTAAAGTCATGTTTGCTCTTCAGTAAATAAAGCCAAATTCAACTGTGCTTTTCAAAAATGTGTGATCAAGAACAACATGATTGGTGTAGATAAACATCTGAATAAAACATTTATTCCAAAGGACATTGTAGCTATGGTTATTTTTATTTCTGCCTATTTTGTGTTCCAATTAAATGTTGATGTAAATTACTGGCTTGCAACAAAATGGCTTCTGATAATGCACATTATACATACTACAAAAGCCTTAAATAATTTTACTTATATAGGTTTTTAAGGCAGTCAGACACCTTTTTCCTGCCTAGGCCAGGTAACATGTTTTCATTAACTGCTTGAAGTCAGGAAGTCACATTTAACTGCTTTGTAACAATATTGTTTAAAAAAAAATATCATTTTAGCATTCACACAGATAGGAATCAGAAGACAAAGTGGGGATTGACATGGAAATATGGTCTCACTCAAAGCAAAGTGATTACCTCAGTAAGCCACCAGGAAGTCCTATTTATATATAGCCTTTATTTAATCATGTAATCCCATTGAGATCCAGATCCCATTTGCAAGTGAGCCTATTTAATGTAACTAGGAAGTCACATTGAGACAAGATAGAATCAGTTTGTTTCATTTTTCAATAGAAAAAACTGCAGTTTAGGGCATGATTCTTTTATTATAATACAATAAAATGCATATCATAATCACACAACGTGGCACAGCATACAGCTTTTAAACTTTATTTTTCTTCAGGTAAACTTGTCGATACAAAGAGGGTTCTTATCAAAGAGTCTCTCAAACTTTGTCCCCTGGATCTTGCGGCCTATAACTCCCCACATAAAGGAGCCATGTTGTCAGGTAACCCTTTTATTGAATAGATTAGTAAATATGGCAAATTGTTCTAAACTTACTCTGTACAATGCATCAAATGGCAACATTTTTAGTATTTTCATATTGTCCCAAATAGCAGTTCCTAGAGACTCCATATGAAGAATTTATACACGTGTTTATTTTATAGCATTGTAAAAGCCGTCTACAAAATTGTATAACGTTTTAATCCATTGTGGCAACTTGATAACCACAAAAAGGTTTACTATACACAGTAAATGGCTAATAAGTAAATGTGGTGAAACAAGCATGCAGTTGGGTGAGTCAGTTGGCAAGAAGAAATAGTAAAACTTGTTGCAGCATGTAAGCATCTTTTTTTTCAACCTTCTGGTTGTCCTGAAAATGAAGAGCAGAAGCTCAGATTGCCCACATAAAACCTGAATAACAAAAAGGAGCTTGTTGCATCGTGTCATGTGTTATCCGCCAACTTGTTTGATCCCCTGAGGAGTATGAAGTGCTAGCATGAATGATTCTTCTTTGAAGATCTTTACAACATGGAACTCAGTCCTCCACAAACTATGAAACAGACATGAGGCTATACAAATGTGATAGTGAGCTAGCACTCCTAACATAGTTGTTGTAATAATACTTTTTTTAACCTAGTTACTTACCAGCTTTTTCAACATCATGCAAAAGATTGGGCAGAGGAACTAATGTCCTTATATACTTCCTTGTTCTACCATGTTTGAAGATCAGGGGGTCCATTTAAGTCTGTTTTTGACGCAAACATATTTTCATGTTGCCAGTTATTACACAGATGTTTGTTAATGTAATTGCTTCGCCTTATTTGAACTAACTAACACAAATTATAAATGTATAAGTTGCTGTGTATATGTGTAAATGTCTTGCTAGCTCCCGCGCTGTTGGTTTGGTCTGGTTCAAATTGGCTCCTGCAGGGTATAAAATGGCTGGTTAGACTACTGCAAAGATTTGCTGCTCGTTTGTGTTGTTGGGTCTCATATGCAATACATTTTCAAACCATAAATTAACCACTCTTTGCCTTTGCATCCTCACATATTCTTGATGAAAGGCCAACATGTTATCACTTCACTGTGATGTCCTACTGTCCAAATGCTTCAGGTGAGCAATAGGAACTGAAGCTCCACCAGTGGCTCAATGCTAAAATTATATTTTGGACCGCACTGTGGGTGGGTTGTAATTCAAAATAAATAGACCTACATCATAATTCTTTCTAATCTTTTCTTTCTTATGATTTTCTGGCATTGTCAGCCTGGTTTCAACAGAGGCTGTGACCAAGTTGGCAAACATTGTGAACATTAAATGTCTGTAGCTTTATCATATTTTTTGCTAACACTGCTCCAGCTTTGTTTCAGATCCACTTTTAGCTTAGGTTGTACTTTTAACTTTTGACTCGCTGCAGCTTTTATTATTACTAAAGCTATTAATTTAAATGTCTGTAACATGAGGCTGTTGCAAGATTACTGTTGTTGTTGCTGGCACTGCTAGTAAGCTCTTTCAATTACCAACTACACTGTCGGTCA